TGTCCAAAGTAAAGAAAGAAAGGAATAAGTATATTTGAACTGCTGATCCACTCTTTCCCTAGAGTTATTAATTATTTCATTTCTTTTTATATATTAAGTTCAAGCAGGTTTATCAAGATTTGGCTCTCTACTGATTTGTTTGAAAGTAGCAATATTCACCACCATTAATCAATCATGGTGAAGAGCTAAATTAATCAGTTATTAAATATGTCCTGACATAAGCGCTTCTGTGCAAAGATTTTTGTTATAGTTACTATGTACATAAGGACATTTGATGGCTGAACTATACTACCAGGGAAGAGATCCCCAGAAAAATGTCAGCTCTCTTTGCAACCTGTTCTATTTTACGTGATTGAATTTTTCAATTTTGGTCTAATCAACTCAAATTATTATAGTTATAATTTTGTGAAATATGGAATTAATGGAATTTAAATTTTATGGAATTATAATTGACTATAAAATGGGTTTAATATGAGTCTAATCAGAAATACAGTAGTTCATTGTTGCAGAATTCATCTATTTGGTGCTATCACTTGGAGACTTAAAAACGCTAGCAATGGTATACTTGGTTCTAATTAATTTTCTTGATTCCTTGCTTAATAGAGACTTGTGACACATCTTGAACCTAAAATGATACTCTTTAGAGTCATGGAGCAATAACTTTCAAAGAATCCACAGTAGAAAAATGTAAATAACTCAACTTTGAAACCAAGAATATACTAAGAATTACTAAGCACTGGCAAAAGATTTGTAATTACACAATGTTTATTTTTCTCTACTAGCTTCTTATTTAGATGTGAAGTCATGAGGTCTGCCAAGGGTGGTTATAGATTTTCAACAGACATAGAGGGTTCATGGGATGAAATGTAAATATGAAGTAGACAGAATCAGAGCTGGACTTCATTCATTCCTGCATTCAATTACTCTGTTCCAGGAATGTATTTCCATACTGGGCATGCAAAATGAAGACCAATTTTATTCCCTTTCATGGAAGTCATAATGTATGTTGAAAGACAAGTACAGAAGAACACAGTTTATTTCTCCATCACCCATCACTTTGTTTAAAGGTTCTCCAAACTGGCTATGGATGTTTTGAGATCCAAGAAAAGATTCTGATGGAGAACTGTGACCTGCTTCACAACAAACACTTTCTATAGAACACTGTCACCTGGTCATTAGCCCCACTTAGCTTGCAATCTTGGCATGATCTTCAGATATTAGACTGACACTTACCTAAGTAGCTCCACTGCAGAGAAACATTCTAGAATGTATTTCACTGATAATATTTGGGCCTGAAGAGTCTCATTACCTGTTAGACTGTGCTTTGATAATTAATTTGGATTATCATTATACATTATATTCACAGATGTGTATTATTCCATTATATTGAGATAACAATTGAGTTAGAAAAACAAATTGTCAAATTATGTGCCACTGATCTGAGGCAAACACCTAATTTTATAACTGAATCTGAGTTTACCAGAAGCCAGGGTTATTTTAACCAAAAGCCTTTTACTGAGCTACATTAATAAACTATGGTGTATACAAACTGCAATCCTATGCAACATATAGGAATATATTATGATTGTTAGAGGGTCCATGCCACCATAACCCTCAGGATGTATGTGCATTCACAATAGAATAGCTTATAAAAGCTCTACAGGAAATAAACTTCACAGTATAAGTTGCTAAACAAGATCTTAATCTCCTTATAATAAATCTTAACATTACGCTATGTGTGACTGCTAAGTTTTGGTTAATCTGTTTCTGTCATAATTATAATTGTTCTCTTTACAGAGGTAGTTATAATAAAATCTGAAGATAAGGAAGGTGATGGTATAGTCTAATTTTGGAAGAACAAAAAGGTTTCATACCTCCACGGAAGTACATAAGAGAGGAACTACAGCATCAGCTGGCCCCATATTGGGGTGAGGTGTAGGGCAAGGACAAGAAAAAGGCAGCATCAAACAGAAAGGAAATAATGGGGAAATACAGAAGCTCCAGAGCAAAGAACTGAGTAGAAAATGACTTCGCAGGAGTCAGAAGGCACCTAGAACGATACCAGGATATCATCCTCATCCATACAGCCTGCAGCCGAAGCCAAGTTTCAGCTGCTTACTATCCTACTTTATCGGGTTATGGAGAAATTTAAGTGACACCATGCAAACACACAAAATGAAACTCCAATAAGTTAAAGTGTATGGATAAACAGAGAAAATCAAGGAGATGGTGTGCTTACAAAATAGAGCAAACATCTACTAGGATGAAATGTAAGTCATGAGAACATAAATATATGAATATCATCAGGACTCAGTCACTATTGACTCAGCCAAATCTCCATGAGGTTAATGTATGCATCATAATTCATGCTTAAGCAAATTGGTGGGTGACATATTAGGAACCTCTGTTTTTTTCTCTCCAAACAATGGACTTTATGTTGGACTAGCCTCAAAGAAGGTCTAAACTCTAAGATCACTCCCACACCAGATCGTCTCATCCCTCTATAATAATCTCCAGAATAAAGTCTCTTGTGGAAAGACAAGTCTATGGGTCTCACATTTCCTACATCTGTCAACATCCAAACTGTCCTTTCTGTCTGCTTAAAGTTGTGTGCGTAGTAAACCGTGTTGGGGGAGAGAGGGCGGGAGCTTCCCTCCAGCACCAAAGGAAGACCTATTTACAGCCCATCCTGAAGACTTCAGATTCCCTAAGCCCAGTGTGCCTCTTGTAACAGAAGCTAGCATTTAGCCTTCTTCACATCACCCTGTGGGAAATGGGGCTCAGACAGCCAATTTAAATGCTGACACTCTGGTTACTGCTGATTCTGGGAATGCGAAATTGTCCTCCATCTCTGATCTCCACCAGCATCCACTACACTGTGGCAGACTGACTTCTGACCTCCAGGAAGGGAAAACTTCAAGACTCCTCACAGTTCTCTGGGGAGCTACGCCCCCATGAGTAATTGCTGCAAGGGTAGGAATATACCATTTCAGGAGACCCCCTGAAGCTCATTCAGCAACCATTATAATAGGAGAAGCCACGCTCGCTCATCGTGTATGAAATAGGAGCTGCTGATGGACAACGCAGCAGCAAAAGATGGTGAGGTGCCTGTTCTTGGAATAAGATTGCCAAAGAAGGAAAAGGATCAGGTCTTGTGAATTCTAGCATGGTTTGGTTCAGTCCAATTCTAAATGCTTGTTGTGGATTCCTTTCTACAAAGAACAGTGTGGCCACCTACAAACCCCCAGCTGAAATTCTATTTCAGCACTGAGCAGATATTTCCAACTTTGATGTCACCATTTATCACCCAGTCCTAAATTTTTTTACATGGTGGTAGATCTTCATGAGTTGAAAACTTCTTCTGGACAGAAAAATATATGGTCACCAATATCTACAAAATACTAATTTAACCCAATTCGTGATATTCATCTATATTTATACTCAATAATGTAATAAAATTGGAATTTTTTTCTGATACAATGTCACTATGAGTTCTTATTTCAAAGAGGTATTTCAAAGCATGGACTACCATATCCACGAGGAATATATGGTATGGGTGTCAGGCTAGGGTACACTAAAGGTTCTCCATTTTCTACTAATTGAAAATGCATTTGTTATTATAGGCTCCAAAATGAAAATAAGGCTCACTCCAAACTATGAACAGTTCTAATCATATACTCTTCTTCCATCTAGAGAAAATTAGCTTTAGAAAGACAAACTGGCTGGCGCCGCGGCTCACTAGGCTAATCCTCTGCCTTGTGGTGCCGGCACACTGGGTTCTAGTCCCAGTCGGGGCGCTGGATTCTGTCCTGGTTGCCCCTCTTCCAGGCCAGTTCTCTGCTGTGGCCAGGGAGTGCAGTGGAGGATGGCCCAAGTGCTTGGGCCCTGCACCCCATGGGAGACCAGGAGAAGTACCTGGCTCCTGCCATCGGATCAGCGTGGTACGCCGGCCGCAGCACGCCGGCCGCGGTGGCCACTGGAGGGTGAACCAACGGCAAAAGGAAGACCTTTCTCTCTCTCTCACTGTCCACTCTGCCTGTCAAAAAAAAAAAAAAAAAAAAAAAAGACAAGCTTTTGATGAGCAAAAAAGAAAAGAAAGAAGTTACAGATGTTCAGTTTACATTGTAACAATTTTGAAATTTTTCCTAAGTGTTTTTGTAATGGAAAAATGAAAATTTACCATTAGAGGAACAAAGTACTTTTTTTTATTTTTTATTTGACAGGTAGAGTTATAGACAGTGAGAGAGAGAGACAGACAGAGAGAGAGACAGAGAGAGAGACAGAAAGGTCTTCCTTCCGTTGGTTCACCCCCCAAATGTCCACTACAGACGGCGCCGCGCTGATCTGAAGCCAGGAGCCTGGTACCTCCTCCTGGTCTCCCATGCGGGTGCAGGGCCCAAGCACTTGGGCCACCCTCCACTGCACTCCCAAGCCACAGCAGAGAGCTGGCCTAGAAGAGGGGCAACTGGGACAGAATCCGGCGCCCCAACCGGGACTAGAACCTGGGGTGCCAGCGCTTAGCCAAGTGAGTCACAGCACCGGCCCCCAAAGTACTTCTTTAGGGGAAAATATTTTATCAATGGGGTTCAATTTTCATTAAGAAGAGCATAATATGGGTATAGAGGTAAAATATGCTTAATCCATATACTACAAACAAATATACATATAAATAATCCACATATACACATTCATAGAGATAACCCAGGTAACTGGATATATAATCTATTTATGTGAATTATCTATATACACATGTAGATTTTATAAACAGAAATGTAGATACAAATACATATTATTTCACTATATAAAACAGGCACAATAATTGACTAATTCATAAGAATATACTTTCAGTATTTGTTAATTATTACTAACTGGAAAATTTCAAGAAAAAAACAAATAAGTGATTCACCTACTTAAAGGGTCACTAATCCACTAGCAGCAAGAGACTTTACCTAAGCAGAAACCTTTAAATCTGCCTACATTACAAACACTAGATTATTCACCTGTAGAAATGAAGGAGCCGAGGAAAGCTCTTCTGAAAAACAAGATTAAAAGGAAATAAGTAACTGCTGTAGTCTGGATGAATTTATTAGTCTGGATAATTTATTTCTCTATTCTATAATTTTCAGAGGTCAGTTATTTCCCTATGCACTTGTCTGTCCAACAAGTATTACATTGCTGAAGTCCTTCTTCATGTATATCATCTAGTTTTCAAATATTTCCAGAGTTGTACTGTCACAAATTCAACCTACATACATATTTATCTCTAAATATTTTTAGTTCCACATTGAGTCAGGTGCATACAATGTCACTTTAAAACACAACTTATTGCATCCTGGAATATTCTCTGGTCATTCTTGCAAGAAAAAGTTCCCCTTTAAAGATGCTTTCATAGAAGAAAAATATTTAAATATCCTATATTTATTGACAAAAACCTCTGTGATATGTATCATATTTGACCTAAAATATTTATTTTATGGTTTTTTATAAACTAGACTATTAGAAAAAAATCTGCCATATACTTCAACTCATTATTTTGTATGAAATAACCATGTAATTCTAATCATGCAAAGATCTTGGTAGCTGGGGGCCAATATACAAACGAAGAAACTGAGCCGGCAAAAGGTGCAAGGACCTAAGCCCAATACAACTTCCTAGGAAGATAATGGAAAAGTGACACTCTTCGCCAGGATGTACACCACTGGTGCTTCTGTACCAGTTCCCAAGGGGTAAACAACCAATGGAAAATCATAATGTATTGCCCTGACAATCTTGACATCCATGGGCTTCTGTCTTAAGTACACGTTTATTACTGAGTAACAGAACCCTTGCTTGTTTGCCTGCCCATTGCTGTACCCAAAGACTGACACCCTTTGGTGCAGTCTTGGTGAAGGTTCTCTCCACCGACTTCTGCGGTTTGAATACCCCAAATCAGCACTGCTATATAGCATTACTTACCACAGGTATCTTTTAAAATATACAAAACCGCATTAGTTAAAGAATGGGGCCGTGGTCACAGGAAGCGCTGGGTTCCAGCCCTGCGTTGCAGCTGCCTGCCGTGCAGCCACAGCAGTAGGACACAGCATCGGGCCTCAGGAAATTCTTAACATTCTAATGAGAAACACAAGGATGTGGGGAAATTCTTTGCTTTTGCTAGGAATGCTCTACCTTGCTGGCAATTGCATCACCTGGGAAATGAAGGCTAAAAGATGGATACACCTAACTTTTCATAGTAAACTTCCCGTTATTCACGGGAAGGCTTTCATCTCATTGTTTAAATGAGCCTGACTTTTTTGTCCCAAAAACAAAACAAACAAACAAACAAAAAAGTAAATAAAAGATGCTGTGTGAGATTTAACCTTAAGGAAGAAACCACATGGAACAGCAACACGGGCGCTGGGAAAATGTGCCTTCACAGTGTCTTCTGCTATCTGTGTTGCTAACTATAACTCTTGCATATATAATTCCATTATACTTTTATAATTCAGGGCTTTGAAAATGCTTTTGAACCATTAATATATTTTCCTGGTTAAAATTCTTTGAGATGTTCTTAACAAGAGTCTTAGATAATGAATTTGGGCAAACTCTGGAACAGTCTTTACAGTATTATCATTCTCATTAATTTTCAGAACTACCCACTGTGTTGAGATGATTGTCATGGGCCTAAGACTTCAATTTGGCTAAATATTTTTGCATATATTTCAACATATAAGTAACTAACAAATGTTTAAATGTTAAGTTCATATGGAAGAAAAGGTTAAGTGTTTTTAATCTCATGATTTCTTTGCCACACTAATTCTTATTTTACTATTTCCCAATGTAGTACACAATTTCTTCTATACTTTGGTCTACAATGGACTAATACTTCTGAAATTCCTTAAAAGGGAACAGTCCTTTCAAACATTCTGGAATTTGCCATTTGTGCATATGCAGTATCTAACACAAGTAGCATCACTAGGTTTTAAAATAGTAACTCAAACATTATTTTTACAAAACATACAGAGTTCCTATAAAGCATAGGGCTGTACTTTCCCTTTTCTTTTTGTTTTGTTTTGTTTTATTTTAGCAGAAAGAGTGGTTTCCATTTATATTCTTATTTGGCTTTAGCAACCTGGTATCTGATACTGGCCTAACCTGCCAGAAAAAAAAGATGGGGATGGAGGCTAAAAACAACATTACTTCCAGAGACTTAATGCAGTAGACACTCCACACTTTCATGCAGTTTTTGCTTTTTTTTTTCTTTGCCTTTTTGGTTATCTCTGCAGACTGCTTCTGTTTCCATTGTTTCATCCTTTCGCATTCACATATCAGAGCAATAAGTATTTCATTACTGGTTTATCTGTCCAGAGGCTTGAGAAGCGGTAACAATTAACCCTCCCTTCACAGTGATTGATACAGGCTTTGCTTTCAATTTGTTCCACTACACAGATCATGAAATTCTGAATGCAATCATCCTCATTGACCTACACTTTCAAACACACAGCTACAATGAGACGAAAGTAATTATGAAAAGGAACACAGGACTACTGAGATCTGAAACAAAGTCTTTTAAAAATCTGTTAGATGACCTTCTGGCAAAATTGCCAAATTTTGATGCTCGGGAAAATGATAGCTTCATGTCCCCGTCTGGAAATGCTCAACACAAGCTGGTTGATGCACATTATGGTGACTGTCCTGGCTAAGGCATACACTGAGAAAATATAGAGAGGCATTCTAGAACTGTTAAAAACAAAAAGAGTTAAGCCCTTAACAATGAAGCTCAATCCATCTGAAAATTGTTTAAGGGAAACGAAACTTTCTGATTTGTACACAAAGAATCACTCACTGGAGTGATGAATCAAGGCTGGTAAAGCAATAGTTTCACTCTCCACGAAGACTTGCATAGCTGAGCCCTATATTTTCCTCTCCCCCTCCCTTTAGATGAAGATTCACCGTAAGAAATGAATACATTTTTCACAAAGTCTGAAAAATAGCTTCAAATAAATATTAATCTACTGCAATCGATATATATGAGCAATGGTGAAGGACTGGTAGCAGAGTGGTGACTACAGAACTATATTAAAACAAGGGTTGCAGTTAAAGAAAATCAGAGTGGAAAGCAAGGCACCAGGCCTGAGGCTCTAATCACAGCACAGAATGATGGAGATGAACCAATACTGCATGGATTAGCAATGAATTATTTTGAGCTGTAATCATATGCCTGCACAGAAGAGAGGCAAAAACTAACCATTACTCATAAACTGATCTGCTGATTGAGAGAAAGAGAGAGGCTCAAGAAGAAGAAGAAATTCGTGCACTAAACGAATTTAGAATAATGAAAACCTAAAGATGTGGTTACACTTCAAGTAGCATTTTATTTTTAATGTCTGCTGCATACCACGTAATCCAGAGGGTTTAGAATATAAACTGCAGAGGACTGGGATTCAAACAGGATTAAAGGAAGCATCTCTTCTGAGATTCGGATGGGAGAGTGTCTCCTTGCTCCACTCTTCCTTACCCAACAGAACCATCTCTGGATAACTTTGACATCTCCCCAGGCCCCAAATAATTTTTTAAAGTATCTACTTATAAAGAAACACTGTGCAAGGAATTCAGTTCCTTTGGATAATCTGGAAAAAGAATATATATCAAACCAAGATTCAAATGATAGAAACAATTTTGTTAAGAAGAAAAAAAAAAATCAAAACTGCTGGTAGCAAGAGATTCCTGAGATTCTTCCAAACAGACTGTTTAAATGAAGAGCACTTTAATCAGTAGAGGAATCCTCACGTTTCTAATGTCTCGCTGTGCATTCTGCAGGTTATAGTAGCAGCTGGTAGAGGTCATATATCTTTTGTGAGCATCCCAAAAAGGCTCACTGCCAGACTGTTAAATTATGAATAAGCAATGAACAAAAGAATGCAGATACGGTGGTGACAAGATAATCCAAGCAAATTTATCTATGACAAATTTCACAGGATTAACAAATTACATTTACACAGAACAATAAAAATGTGCAAAAAAAAAAATGATGAGCCTACTTTTCCTTACAGCATTAGGAAAACAAAAAAGTCACCAATCCACTGCATATATTTAAATTTAACTCCAACTAAAGTAAGACGTTTATGATTGGATAGATATCTTTGTAATAGTTTTCTACTTTAAGTAGACTCAGTATATAATTTATATAAACATATGTTGCAAACAGTGTATATGTATGTATATGTATACATAGCTTATATAGAAACTGTGCTTATCATATACAAAAATTTGGACAATAACAATATTATTCCATTCATATACTCATACATGAGTAGAATGCATATGTCTTTTAGAAGTAGAACCAGAAGAATAAATTATTTTTGGAGGGAAAAAAACGCTCCCTCAATCAGCACAATACATATTTGTTACTACTAAAGTATCCTTATTGGTTGATGTCTCCTTTTAGGAAAGGCAGGAGACATTGAGCAGTTTCAGTCATTCCACTTGCCCCCACCAACATACTGCAGCCTGAGTCACTTACTCAGGAACAAAGTTTCTATCTAGTATAGTCCTCCCCCCCCCCAACGCCCCTCAGTGTTTCCAAGTAGCTGACTAGGAGGCTTGGGAAGAGCCAGTTGACTACAGCTCTATCTCCATAGAGATGACTCTTAGTCTAATAATATTGTTTTTATTTATAATATAATTCTTTACATAATATTCTTACAAATCCTACAAATGAAAAAGCACTCATCCATCAGATGTAATGAGATGTTGATGAAATGATCCATGGTTTCAAAAAGTGATCTTTTTAAAAATGGCATGTGGTGCTACTTTTCAAAAGATGTACTCTGGCCAGAGCCCTCTAAGTCTGCATTAACACACCAAGGGTAATAAAACACTGTAATCAGATTCAATGATTTTAAGGTGATCTGACTGCTGTTTTAAATTCTGTAGTCTCTTCTCACACTTCTGACTCTCGCTTTTTATCTTTGATATTTTAGTAAAGCATCTCTCTAAATGAGGCCCTCCCCACATTTTGTAAGGCAACCTTTTCTTTATGAATGTTAGCGAATA